TAAGATTAAGTGAAAAGTAGTAGATATTGTTGTATAAATGTTAAGTCAAAGACAATGTTCCAGAAAAATTGATAATTCCAAAATGTTACGTCAAAATAGTTTAAAAATTGCAATTCCTCGTGCAAACGGAATTTTAAAAATCCTCGGCGGTAAATTAGGTCAACATTTTCCCAACACGAAACGAATCCGACGAGCCATCCAATTATAATATTAACTGCTAATAAATCTGAATTTTATAAAGTGTTCGTTTGTTTGCAAGATGTCCGTTTAAAAACTACGTTTGATTTTAAAAATAACGTCTTCGTGATTTAGGTATTCCGGCATCTTATTTAAATAATATAATGAACGCGTACCGACGCCGGACATTTTACGTGACGACCGCGAAAAAGAGTTGATCGAGTTAAACAACGCGTCGGTTATATTTCCCGGCTTTGCAACATGGCCGACTTAATCTAACCCAAGGGGGTTGTTTCACACCGGAAATCGATCTCGTTTTCTTTTCACTTTTTTTAAAAGTCAATCGAAATCTTATACCTACAGACTATAACTTTTGATTTATATAATATATAGCAATACGATACCTGTGATAAATTTTTCACCAACGAAAACCGAAAATAATGATAATATTATATTATAATCAAAAAACTCCGTGAACATAAAATGGCGAAATGTTTGCATGAAAGCGGTAGGGACTGGTGGTTGAAAGTCGAAACTACCGAAAGGCTTGTACATCTTCAATATACTATTCCCGTGCATATGCAACATTGCATACGGCCCTTGCCGTCATTTGAGGAGTCTGTAAGAGTGTTCAAAGCCATATAAAAAAATATTCTCCACCTTCAACAGTGTGTTAAAATTCATGTTGAAATTCAATCCGATTTTTATCATTTATCAATCCACTTATAAAACATAAGTCTAATTCTCGCGTTTGAATTCGTTTGGTCCGGAGTACAATAATTTGCGATAGTGTCTCTATTCTCAGGGAAAAGTCAACAATACGCACTGACATAGAAAAACTCGAATTCGATATATTTTTGTCGGTTCAAGTATTTGGACGTATTGCAATGTAAAAGGTGTGAATATAATATATCTGGAATTTACACGGGTATCGTGAAATTTTGGAAACCGGCCAAACAGTTTATTGGCCGACGATGGACTTTTTTTTTGACAGACCGAAAAACGCGTGTAGGGAATAGGTGCCAAAAAAAAAAAAATTTAACGGCACGAGAAGAATTGGTAAAAATTGGTTACTGATTTTTACGAGATTTTTTTTTTTCTCAAATATGTTCCAAAACAACGACACCGGAAAGGTTTACCGAATTTTTTTAATTGCTGCAAACAGGATAAACTACCGAGTACGAAAACAATTTTACCAAAAATGTTAATTCCCCGGTAATTTTGAACTCTAAATAAATTCAATTCTAAATAGTAACTACGATACGAAATTATATAGTCGTAAACTTTATATATAATTGAACTTTTTTAGAATGGGAAAAAACACGACCAATTTGTTGCAATTAGCCCAAATATGTGTTTTCCTACGGATCATTCGTATTTTTCTGGTCGCCGTCTAATTTAACGAGTTCCAATAATGTTTATGAACTCGGCTTGGTTATTCGTCGACAAATTTGATTTATTTACTTCAAAATATTATCAAGTGCATAAAATTATTATGACGTAGTGAATATACTTATACTGCCTACTTCAAAAAATTAACATTATTTTTTCATTGGGCCTCTGCTGCAGATCTCCGTGCCTCCTTTATTTCCTCATAACTCATTTCCTTTGAATCTTTGTACGTAATTGTCCTTAACCATAAATCATATCTACCGTCTCGATTCGGCTTTTCGTGCAATATTATAGCATTTTTCTTGGACGTGTCCTTCTATATAAAATGTATACTTTGCTTCGTCGTGGCGTACCCGGCATACGCCTTTAGAATGTCCCGTTTTTTCGAATATGAGCGAAAATTGAAAAAGAGTGGTAGGTAGAATGATTTAAATACTTGGAATTTATCTTTGATTGGTTCTGTATCGCGACGCGTGCAGTAGACCCGACCCTATCATTTTGTCCCTTCCGACTTCAATACTTGCGCCGAAGTTCTAGTCTAACCACACTGTTTAGTGTTTATATATACATATACATATATATATAATATACGGTTTTCACGGTTGCAGGAAGCCAAGGACATACTGTGCCAAGAAGCCAGGCAGCTGGTGACGTCCTCGAAAATCCTGATCCGGTGCTACATGAACCCGAAAAGCCCCGAGTTCCAGACGAACCTATCGCAGTGCGTAACGCAACTGCGCCGGATGACGGTGCTCAGTGGCAACATGACCAAGCACACGTCGTCGCCGCTGCAGACCCGGAACCTCATACTCAAGGTGACCGACGTGCTACACACGTTCCACGGGCTCCTGATTGACACGGACGTGTGCACCGAGACGCTCACCAGGCACGCCGAAGGTTTGGCCAATGTGCTGGCCAAACTGCTGCGCAGTCTCCGGGTGTTCTCGCCGTGACGGTAGGGAACGGGTCGGGAATAACGCGGCGGCATCATTACGTTTTGCGCGGTGCGCCCGCGATTCCCGCCCGGCGATCGTATAAAAATGTTAATAAATTTGTTACGCGAATATTATTTATTAATTTCTTATTATTTTTCGTTTTTGTTTTTCGTTTGTGTGTCGATGTATCTACCGGCAAAAAAAAAAAAAAAAAGGAAAGAAGAAAAACGTAAAAAGTACGGCGTTTTTTTTTTTTTTTTTACTTTTTTAAGTCTCAATAATGATATTGATTTTTTTTTTTAATTTAATTTAAACGTATAAATTGGAGCCAAAAAATCGTTTTAATATTATTTATTATAGTTTTTAGATGATATTATTAAATATTATCTATAATGTATATACTATAGAGCGCACCCGTGAAAGATTACCGTTAACTTTAAATATTGGAATTGTATTCTTATCCTTGAAAAAAAAAAAAATATTAATATGCTCAATCCGTATCATAGGATTTTCAAAAAAAAATCCTAAATACTGCATGCACTCACGTTGGTGGCTGGCCGGTAAAATGAAAATTGGTATCTCTAAATTTGTCTAAAATGTTTTCTAAAGTTTCTCAAATTTTGAAAAATATGATATTTTATTTACATGACCACCTAAATGATACAAATTTTCCACTAATCTACGATATGATACCCGTTAAAAGGAGTGGGAGTATGGTTTTTTTTACTGACAAATATGAAATTTTAGACCGAAAAGCCAGACAAAACTTTAAGAATTTTCGTCTGATAGAATGATCAATTTTGAATTTAATTTATTACGTTTCTTTTGGTTTCTTGAGAATACATTGGAATTATTTTTTTGAATGTTAATTCTCTTTATCATAGTTAAAAGGCAAAATACTTTGTATACATTTTTTTAAAACATAAAATCTATAATTAAATTTATTTATCTCCAATGAAATAATTAAACTATAATAATCCAACATATCCTAATAAAGAACCCAAAGGATCTTAATGTGTTTTAAAAATTGAATTTCGTCAAATCAATTATTACAATTTTTTTGGATTTTAGATCTGAATCGACTAATATATGCATAATCACCATTCTCCTTAAATATTTTAAACATATTTTTTTTTTTTTAAATATATATATGTAATGTAAAATATAATTTTATAGACAAGGGCGTTCGTGTTCAAAAATTTAGGGATCCGGACAAAGTATTTTTTTTTTTTAATTCTATTTATTTTTTAACGACATTGACCATTTTTTTGTTAAACTGTAGATAAATGCACATAGCCCCCCATAGCCACCTTCCCTATAATGGACGCCCACGGTCATAGCGTTAAAATCTAGTCAAATTTTTTATAGAAAATAATTCACGAGTTTGTTATGTAAGTAATAATAATATATATATATTATAAGTTTATCGATTATATAGGTAGGTACCTAGGTATATGTATATTAATTTATTATTTATTGTTTTGTACAAGAAATGCGAATATCTTTTTATTATAATACTTGACTTTGGGAGGGTTTTATATTTTATACGTATACATTTTTTAATTTAATCTGATTAGTCCGGGGATTTGTTCAAAACTATAAACAAACAAAACAAGAACAATTGTGTAATGTGTAAAGTTTCGTAATAATTGGTCAATCCTAAGTCGATTCTAACAATATTGCATTAAGTATTGATTATAGCACTTACCGGACATTATGAGAACTGACCTTTAACGTTGTTACTTGTGCTTTGTTTTATTAAACAGGCCTATTCACCTAAAAAAAAGGTTAAAAAGAGTTTAAAACTCTTTTTGTTATTTTGTGGGCAAATAAGTCATTTAGTGAAAAATGTACAAGTAAAAATTATTATAGGAAATTAAATTTAAAAAAAAAAAAATGCTCTGGAATTTTAACCCCCTTGAAGAACGTATTGGAGTTGACCAATGTTCATATGGAACTTAACACAAATAACTTTTTATAGTTTTCAACAAATTTTAAGAATGGACTGTTCAAAATTGAAAAAAAAAATTCCGCTGTCCACGATAAGGACCGCTCTAAATGCGATAAAAACATAAACATGAAAAAAAAATACACACACATATATATATATAAATATATTATACATACAACTTTTACCACGCGTAACATACGAATATGTAGTAGGTAATATAATAATGGCATGTCAATTAAACAAAAAAAAAAAAAAAAAAATAATAATAATATTTTCCCAGTGCACTTTATTAATTTTTAATACTGTATGTAATGAATTAAAAACATACTTGATTACGGAAAAAATAGTTCACTTTCGAATTTTGGATAATACTACAGTAGATATAATAATAATAAATAAGTAATAATTTTAGTATTAGACATAATATTGTAAAGTTAAGTAGGTAATTGAATGTTTTCAATTGTTTTGTTTTTTTTTTTTTTTTTTTTTTTTGTGAGAGAGAATGTATGATTTATGTATAATTTTACCGACGTACCAATATTTCTTAATGTAACTAATAATAATTATTGTATTTTATATATTAAAAAATGAATAAATATTGCGTATTGAATTTTTATGGCAAATTTCGGTACGTAGAAACAATTTTTGTTTTTTTAACACCAACATAGAGTCACATTACAAACATTTACATTATAACCTACTGTTATGTCATCGTCATCGTGTAATTATTATTAAATTGGTTTTTTTTTTCGTACATTGGAATTATTCATATTTTACCGAGAAAAACAAAAAAATGTTCATGTAAAACTATAGGTAAAATTGGAGGTTATTTTTTTTTTATTGAGAAAATATATTATATGATAATAAAAATACTAAAAACATGTCAAAGAAATTATATATTTTTTAATTGATTGCATCTATCTTTCCTACACCACAATATTGTCATTCTCGCGAAAAAAAATTTCAAGTATTTCTGTTTGGTCTAATAATACAATGTAGTAATATTGAGATACTGTGATTTTAGACAGGTAATTTAAACATTTTAATTAACTATTAAAACAATCGAAAAAATAAATTTTAAAAAATAAACTTAGTGTAGCCGAAAATGATACTTGAAAAAAATATTCGAAAATGGTCGATTTTTTTCAAATAAATCAAGCATTGGCAAGCAGTTATATTTTAATTATTTCCAAATATTTATAACCGTTTCATGCTAACGCGTCTATATTGAGAACCTATGTGAAATTTCGGTTGAAAATTATTGAACCAAAATTATTCTTTGTTACTTTTAAAATACCAACTCGAGGCTGTTGCAGCGCACGGTCCCAATGCTACCCCTGACATAAAATATGGAAGGTAAATATGCGGCGGCACGACCCATGTCTCCGTATTAGTTATTGAATTGTAATGTTATGTGCTGCTCACCCAGCATTGTAAACACGTATAGAATTATTTAGGATATGTTTCCAAGAGTGTGACTAAATGATTCGAAAACGGTCTAGTACCTACTTGATGTTTTCTTTTTATTTATTTATTTTCTTTTTATTTTATTTTTAAAGAAATGCACCGTTTAATAAATATAACGAAGACATTCGTTGTTCGAAAGAGATCCATAATGTGTTTTTTTTACAACCAAAACATTTTTAGACGGGTCATATAAAATAGGAAGTGATCATACCTTTTGATGACGCCGCCGCCGCCGCCGCCCCTCGAATACCTTTATAATCTTTATACAATATTTCGATCAATGTAACTTCATTATTAACGGATTATCTTCGATCGGTACCGACACGTAGGCCCACTAAGGGGTCTTTTACAGTTACGTACTTAATATTAGGTTTGAGGCATTCAGCGTTCCAGAGGGATCCGTAGTATTACATTCCGAATTCAAGGTCGGCTTGAAAGCAGTTCAAAATGTGAAGTTTAGAACCACGGCGTCTAGTCGTAGTCGTAGCTAGATAGTAATTTCACGTGATTATTTAGGAAAATACAAACTAAAACTAATGAACTAAGAAAAATTGTATTGTAAAGGTTTACCTACGTTTGTTATTAGAAAATTAAAAATCAAAAAAATAATATATAGGTAATATTTAAATAAATAGAAAAAGAAATACGGACATACTTCGTACGGTGAATGCAGTCACTGTTGTTGATGAGAAGTTGGGAAGGTAAGATATAGAGGGGAAATTAATTTGTTTCTGTAAGTAAAGATAAATCATTGCTTACTAAAAACGATGCTGAGCGGAGTTCTGTTGATAGTGATGTTTTGTCAACAATATAAATGTCATATTATAGTAAAATAATTAAATAGACGTTATATATTTTCTTTAATAATATTTGTTTAATATTGTACCGATTTTCCCATTTTTTTTTTTTTACGTTTTTTCATTTTTTTCCCCGTTTTTCGCATTCGTTGAGAAAACTCCTGGGAAAATCGAAAATTACCTCTATAAAGTACCTTCCCAGTCAGATTTCCTTTTAGAAAAAGGTCTACATCGTATACACCGGAGTAAGATTTTGGGTAGAAAAAGTGTTAACATAAAAAAAAAAAAAAAAATCATCTTTGTAAAATCAATACATTCTGCTCTACACTCAGAGTTTAAAATGGCAAGCTGTTCATCGAATGAAGCAGTGTCGTGTGTAAAGATTTACGTCAGCATTCAGATCGGTTTTTTTTTAAACGCTAAAGAATGTCTATTAGTACTGTTTAGTGAGTAAAATTATAATTCGCGTGCATGCCTAAAAAGAAAACCAATTTTACAAAAAAACCTACATCAGCTACACAGAACGAACGTCATACGTAAACATTAAAGTAAGTGAATAAATGAATTATTTTTGCTCATTATTATTCTTTAAACACAGCCAAAATGTATACAAACAATAAAAATAAAAACGAAATATTCCTCAATGAAATTTTCAACAGTTTTGCAAAAATTATCACGTAGGGTAACTGTACACGCAGAAACGTAAACATGCGGATCAACTGAACACGCAGAAATGAGAACAAAATACTTTATTTTTTGTAGATAAATTATATTAGTGTATCGCTTTGGAACAACACAATAAACGTTATGGGAAAAATCATTTTCTCTTGCGCTGTTTAATAATATGTATTTGTCTACTTATAATATTATATTATTAACATTTTGTACTTATTTGATTAAATTGCACATGGTTTTTAAATTATATTTAATTTGAAAATCATCCATCACTTTTATTTTAGATTCTAAATGGAGTGAAGAAGCTTACAATAATGATATTTTTTTTTAATCTGCGAATAACTTTCCTACCCGAAATATTAAAAAAATTCTATCCTTACAAGTGTACCACTTTTTTGAAAGGAAATCTGACTGGGAGTGGTACTTTGAAGAGGTCGTTTTTTTGATTTTCACGAAAACGAGAATGGGAAAATAGGTACAATATTTAACGAATATTATTAAAGGAAATGTTTAATGTCTATGCAATTATTTACCATAATATGGCATATATAATATTGACAAAGCAACACAATCAACTGAACTCTGCTCAGAATCGTTTTTTCGTTAGTAATGGTTTATCGTTTCATATATTCATTAAACGCCCCTAAACATCATACCTTCCAACTTCCCATCTACAAAAGTGAGTTACCCATCGTGCTAAACTACTCGGCTTTTTTTATTATAGTATTGAAATATGAATTAACTTTTCCTAATAGCTCAGTCGAAAAATTAAATCATCTTATATTCTAAATTAATTTATTTTTCATAACACGAAAAATTTATCCCGACAATGACAATGTAGGTATTTTTTTTTTTTTTTTTATTTTTTTTCTAGGTACTTTCCATTTTTTGTAATACTATATAATTGGTTTACTTGATACGAGAACAATATTTTTTTAACCTTGGTAAATTTCGAATTAGTAAGATTCTTGGTATGGGATACCGAGTATGATGTTATGCTCGCACAACATATCTATGTACAATTTATTATTTATATTAGTATAACAGTGTGACTAAAAGTTTCAAAAGCGGCCGAGTACTCGGTATTCTCTATTTAAAAATTGAATAATTTAATAAATATAACGGAGAGAAGGATACACATTGTAAATTCTTCACAAAATATTTTAAAATTGGTCAAATATAGTAGAAATTTACGATATCCGCTTCAGCTTTTCGAGGACACTGCCGAGCGCAGTCGTACTCTGAGTATTCCTATAATTTTTATTCATACAACACCCCAATAAATATAATTGCATTATTATTTAATATCTTCTATCGTCACCCAGGCGAACGCTAACGGGACCGTTGAAAGCTCACAAATAATACGGGTTTTTTCGTTGTTCGAAAAGGATCACATGTATTACTTTCATTAGAAATATTTCAATACGAGTAGAATAAAAAACAAGATGTATACGACGTCTATAAATGGCATCACAATCGTCACACTCCTACACTAGGCGTCCTCGTAATTATTTCCATACTAAATTCAAATAAAATATAACGGCTTTTGCATAGCATATTACCATCTAGAGACCCCCGTAAAAACAAATACGCTCCGCCAACCTTTTCCGTAAATCTCTTTAGAATAATTCTCTTCCGGCTTTCAGTAGCTAATTGCTATAGTGTTTAATTTCACGAAACATTTGTTTTAATGGTTCGACCTTTTTTTTTTTTTTGTCGTCCTGATTTAAATATTAACATTTTTGTTATCGCAAGTGCACGCAATTTCGGAATACTTAAATATTGGAATATTATTTTGTTTTATTTGAATTGTAAATTACCGTCCACCAATTCCATGTAAATGCGAGAACATTTACAGATATCAGCCGTGGTTTTACCACCTTGACCCGGTTAAACAATAATAATTAATAATGTATTCGTTATTTTATTGATCTCATCACTAATTCACTCCGAAACCTCCTCCGAACATCAGAAGGAAAGTAGTTACACGATTAGCGATTATTAAGCTCAACATTCCATTTCCCATTAGAGATCTTTTTTCTTCCTCTATTTGTATATATTCTCGCATATTATTACGTTCACCCATTTTTCCCTTTTAGTCCCGAACCCACGACCCCGATATTAAGCATACTCTATATAGGTATTACTCTTTAGACTTGGCGGTATTGCAATATAATAAAAGTATGAAAATCGAAAAAAAAAATCATATCAATAAAATAACTGGTTTTCAAAAAAACTTCACTTGTACACAGCCGTATGAAGTAAGCGACTTCGATGTACGACTCCATTTAATATTGGCCTGTGTAATTCGATCTTTACAAAACTCGTAATATATATTTAATAACATTTTGCGATGTTCGCGATGTTTTGCGTCACGGCATCAGCGATTTTCTACTACGAAAATATACCTACCGGACGGATAAAGGCAAAATCATATTATCTATCGACAATCATAATAATAACAAAAATATAGATAAAACAATAATAACGTATCGCGATCAAGTCGAATTTATTGTCGTTTCATATCGGCTATCGAGAACCATTACTCATCCATTATTTTATCGCAAATCATTTTCTTCGTTGTCCCCTCCCTGCAATGTATTGTATATTAAATGCTATTAAAACGTATGCCTGCAATAATCATTATCGTTGAATAGATCGCGTAATGCGCATCCGTTATTTACTATAACGTATTAATCATTTATCTACCCCCCCCCCCCACTATTTTTCACGATAAACGGACGAAAATTACACTAGACGAAATCGTGTAGAAAAAAAAAAATAATAATCGGTTAGGTTAGGTTTCGTTTAGGTCGAAATACGCCCGTGTCCATCTTCCCCGCGGTCAGAGACGTACTTAAAAAACCGCGTGTCGACCCAACAATCGGTACCGGCGGGGAGGGAGGGGNGGGGGGGGGGGGGGGGGGGGAAGCCGACGCCGCGGAGCAGGGACAACGATTCGTCGGGCTGCGGACGAGAGAAAACGAATTCGCGCGCGAAAAACGATCCGGAGGCATAATATAAGTAAAGAGTACATTGTTAGAGAACTCTAGGGAAATCATGTTCCACGATTGGCTTTGATCCCGACGACACAAAAATTTCATCACCGGTTTTAATAATCGGTACACTCGAAATGTTCGAATCACAATCGGAAATAACGTGTAACGGCCCGGCAACTACAATAATGAAATAATTGTTGAAGTCTCGCTGGAACCGGAGCCGTCCGCTTTGCTCATACTGTGCCACCCGGAAATCTCGAAAAACATTTTCGTAGTTTTTTTTTTTGCCGATCGGTTAGGTTATTAGAACGGCGGTCACAGCCGCCGCTGGCCGTCCGTATTTATTGTTATCGCAACGCCGCCGCCGTACCGGGCCCCGGTCAGGTTATTATTATTTATAACATTGTCGTTGCCCGGTGCGGTGCGACGACACGTACATGTGTCGCCGCCGCCCGTGACCTTCTCCGCCGCGGCAACCCCCGGCCGTATTCCGCCCCGCCGTCGCCCGCGTCCCCGCGGCCGGCCGACCAATCGCCGTCGCCCGCCATTGTACACGGCGCGTTCGGTCGAGAGGACCGGTACCCCGGAGATACGCGCCGGAGAGATACCCGCCGCGCCGATCCCCCGGGCACGGTAGGCATTCCAGCGACGACCACCGGCACCGGCCACGCTCGCGCATTTCGCGTTCCGCATTTCCGCCGTGCAGTCCCATCCAGCGCCGACCGTGTCCAGCCCGAGACTCAACTGCACCGCCGCCATCATCCGGGTAAGCGTTCGATTTTGACGTTATTTTTTTTCTTCACGAGCGAAATATTCGCGTAGGCCGAGGCCGTATTCGCCGGTTTAGATTATGCCGGGGGTAGGTATACGAATTCGATCGAACCGTTATGGGCGCGCGACGCATTGTTTACGGCGATCGATTTCGATTATACGACGTTTAAAAATAATAAATCATTATCGCGCGCGTTTTACGGTATTTTTCAAAAGTTTTCACGTGTACCGTTAATCTGTTCGTATTACAATGCGAACAGTTCGGGCAAATTCGATTTTTCAATGCGACAATAAATTTCTGTTTATCATTGTTGTTGTACAGCTTTAGGCGTTTTCGCATTATTTTTAGATTAGATAGCACTTTTATAAGCACCTATATTTCGGGATGGTTAACGGTGTAACCAAATTTACACCGCATACGGAAGAATTAAAAGCGATCTCGCTGCTCCGGGACCGTGGACAAAAAAAAACCGACGGTTTTTCGTACCTTTTTCATTATTTACGTTTAAACGATTAACCCCCCCCCCCCTCCCCCGTTTCGTATGATAATAAAATGTATAATATTACGCGCAATGACTTGAGCGATGGTACATTCTATACACGATATTTCGACGAGCTGCACATGTTGTTTATATATTATTATTGGCACAGCATACCGATATCAACCGTTCGTCTTATCGATATTATTACGTGTTAAATATAAATTGTGTTATAGACTTATTAAGTACCTAAAATATATATTGAATAAAAAAAAAAAAAACCAAGATAAGCGCGGTGTTTATTTGAGTCGCGTTTTATTGATAACGCTATAACGACGGCAGTATAATATACAGTTTTAATATTACAATATTGTATTCGATTTGAATTTCGGACGGTTGTAAATAGCACGGAAATCGACGGGGTATTATTGTACCGTAAAACTTCCGCACAACGATCACCGAAGATACCGGACATAATGACCGTTATTTAAAGGTGGCCGTCCTTTAGCGGTTTCCTATTGAAGGATAACACTTGACGGACCAAAAAAACATCACCGTTAACGGAAGTTTCACTGTATTTTTGAAAATCGTACCGCGTCTTGAGACGAACACCGCGTGAACAACATTCCCGAATAACCGGCGAAGGTACAAAATCGAAAATAACGACGATGCGTTTTTGATAATGTTCCCGTTTTTCCGACGATTTCCACCAACCCTTCCCCCCCTCCAACCTTCGCGGCTGTTGAGAATCGAAAAAAAAAACGCCGACCCTTTAAATGCGCCGACCGGATAGAATATCTGGTATTTCGATCGGACCGAGAGTGGCCGGTAGAAAAACATTGTTCGCGGATAGGAAAACGATTCGACTCGGTCCACCTATACCGAACAACGCAAACCAAGTAAAACTAGCTTGATTTTGATTTTAGAGTATAACCTAACCTAATCTAACCTACATTGTGCAATGTACAAAGAAGAATATTTCGTAGAGAACCCCGTCGGGTTTTTGTATTTTTCTAAACGTACCGTATCTCGATATAAAAGGAGGCACAGAAAACCTTTTTTTTTTTTTTATAGTTTTTTTATGGAACTGTAACTTTTTCAATAGTTTATAATTCAAAAAAACACCTATTAGATTCTCTAAAGAACGAAATATCGTTCTCTTTTCATTTCAGTATTTCGCAACAAATACTTGTAATCTAAAATCGAAATTAGCTACAGTTTCACTTATAATACGCGTAAGCGTATTGTTTTTGCGTTTTGCCGGGTAGTCCGGGCAAAACAGTAGACGCGAGTGTTTAGACGTCCTCTCAATGAAAAATACGCTCGCGCTATTAAAAATGCGTAATGCTTTCGCGATTTCTCGGTGAGTCGACTTTCCCGACGCGTGCCGATAACGTCACACGGATTGCCGGCAGTAGTTTTAGCTGTTCCCGTTAAAAAATATATTATCAGTATTATTGCGTTTTTGTTTGATTTCGGTACCGGTCTCCTCTACTTCTTCTTCTTCTTCTTCGACCTAACCGACGAAGAAATCGCGACAAGTTCAGCTACCTCGTCACGTTCTATTTTGTCTCGCCTATAACGTACAGTTTCCGTTCGTCAAACACTCGCTTCGAAAATGCGAATGCTATTGTACAAAATTTCCTATTGCAAATGGCCGTCGGCAATCCGATCGACACAGGGTGAACGTATCAGGTGGTCCATTTAAGTGAGTTATCACTCATTATCCCGGAAAGCATTAGCTTTTTCCGGAATTTGTTTTTAATAACATTTAAGAAACAAGCTGCTCTACAATTTTATATTTATGCTATTTTTCGTCACCCTTATTTGTGGGGGGTAAAACCACTACCTATTTTTGATTTTCAAACGGCAACGTATATGAAAAATTCCACGGATAGATTAAGTGTTAAAGCGAATTCAAGTGTTAAAATGTTTGATTTCTGTCAGGTCGTTAACGAGTGAGTTATTCCGCTTTTAAATTTGGGTTTAAGGAGAGTAGTGTCATTCGTTTGGCGGTACGGCGCACGGCGTGTTAATAACGCACCGCTACTCTCCTCGTCTAACCAAAACTTGAAAGTGAAATATCTCGTCTGTGGTTTGAAGGCAATCAAAAATGTCAACACTAAAACGTGTTTCAACTAACATCCCATCCATGTATGAACTATTTAATGTGGGTTGTCGTTTGAGAATCCAAAGTGGATAGTCGTTTTACTCTCGAAAATTAGGGCGACGAAAAATAATGCAAACTTTAGAACGGCTCGTTCCTGTAACGTATGTCCCAGAAAACGGATCCCGAAAAAAAGTCAATACTCTCCGAAATGATGAGCGCGCCCGCATGAACCGCATGATCGCCCGGCGCTGTACCGTAAATCAATCCGTCCGGCGCGGCGCGAACCTGTACGGACGGTTTTTTTTTTATTTGCCGTGTCGCTTATCGGACGGCCAAACATTGATTACGGACGTATGCGCACGACAAACACTGATTACGGACGTATACGCACGACAAACACTGATTACGGACGTATACGTACGACAAACGTTGATTACGGACGCGCGGCAGACGTCGATTGCGCGCGTGACGAATATTAAACGTTGCCGGCGATAAGGCGCTGCTACGACAAGAGTGTAGGCGCAACAGAAATGGCATAATGTTGTCCGCGCGCGCGTATTCACGAATTTCGATCGGTTTGCGTGCCGTCGAACGAGCCGCGCGCTCGCGAAACATCGCGAAATCGTATTGTTCGTCGGACGCGATTCGCACCGCGACGGTGTTTCGCCGGTCTCGTCGGATAACATTGTAGAACGCCTTCAAAGGGGCGCCCGACGGAAAACCCGCGGGACGTTCGGATATTCCTGTAAGTGTAATAACATCGTAATGTACACGACAACGCGTCGCGATGCCGCGAACGACAGACCTCCGTCCGCACAGTCGTTCTCGCGTATATCCGCCCGCGCGCGCGCCACGCCGTACGCGAATCGCGGCGTTTCGAAACGCGCGGACGATTATCGCCGAGAATCGTTTCGTCGTTTCGCGCGCACGGACGCAAATCGATTTGCCATCCCCGCGTCGTCGGCGTGACGGTCGGTTTTTGTTTTCGTGGTGTTTTATCTACTCTGTCGTGTCGCGGTCGACGCGTTTCTCTCGCGAATTTCGCGCAACGACGACGCGTCGGTAAATCCTCGACAAGTCGACAACGCCCGACCGACCGGTACTGCGGAGGCCCGCCGTCGCGATTGAATGTTCCGCAATACCGAATTGTCGTCGACTTTGACGAGAAAAAACAAACCAACGGGACCGTTTACCCATTTATCATTTGCCATTTTCTATCGGTTTAATGATACGCCGCCGTCTCCCGGCGCAATACACGACCATTGCTGACGAGACGGTCGATTTCAATTGTTTTAAACGTTTCAACGACCGCGGGAAATTTGCGCCGCACGAGTCCGCTTGGTCGTCCAATTGGCTTCGTTCACCGGCGCCCTCGGCCACGATCGCCAGTGTCCCGCGACCAATCGCCGAACCATTCGAATTATTACCGTCTCCCCGCCGGAAAAAATGGCCGTCGACGTCCCCGGCGAACCCGGGCGTGCGATCCTTCCGCGTTGTTCCCACGGGATCCCGATCCCGGCTGTTGTGTTCCGCGTACGACCGGTGCCCGCGGGGCGACTCGAACGCGCGTGTGGGAGGGAGGGGGGGCATCGTCAATATACGCCGATTCTAAATTAATTACGATGGATTACGAATCCGTTTTTATCCTGCGGTTTTCGACTGCGCACCGCGAATTATCCTGCGTCACGCGTCATTGCGACACGATTCACGCAGTTTAAGTCGTTCATGTATCATACGAATTATTATGATTGTCGTTTCGCGATTGATTGTAAGCTGCGGAGCGCGAACAGATAAAATAAAATATTTCGGCGCGAGCTGTATGGTAATCGACCGTTTTGTTATAACATAGGAATACGTATTTTATAAATATTTCAAAAAGTGTCGATTGTGTACACCGTTGATCTTTCGGAGCTTGTCTACAGACGCAAAATCGTTATTTATCACACCTTCGCGATTCAATATTGTTCCGATAGTTTTTTTTTTACAATGCGAACCTGCGCTCCTGTTAGATTTATTTTGTAGACTGGTTCGGCTTTCAACCGACTGTTCACTAGTTAACGATCGGCATACTGTTCGGGCATAACATTGTCAAAGCACTTTTTCGCGGTTTTCCGATTTGTTTTCACGCATCATCCGTTATGGAAGACGGAGCTTTACGCGGAGCGTTTCGTGAAGCATTTTATCGTAACACTTGTTCGCGTTTATTAAAAACGCTCGGGATCGATAACAATTCAGTGTGCCACGTGTTCAACGAATTAATATAAGTGCACGATGTATCGCGTGAAATGTAACGCGTAGTTAAATCGAACAATCGAATTACTATTTGTCGAATGACCGCGGGACAGTGTGACGCATTACATTATTTTGACGTTTTGCAGGTCGATAATTCCAACGATTGGATACACAGTGTTAGCGATATGGACCTGTCATTGTTGAACAAGCCGGAGAAGGACGCGCCGAAAGTGTTGGACAAACCGACCGTGTACGCGGACGGCGGCTCCGAAACCGCGGCCGTGCCGCTGGACCTGTCAGTGAAAAAGAACCAGTCCGCGGCCGTGCCGGCGGAGCAGCCGCCCCATGACAGCGACGTCAAAGGCATCGACGTTTGCCCGGACGCCGACGATGAACGGCCTCCTGCTTCGAAGGCGCGCGCCTTCGAATCGGAATTCGCGGACGTACCGGCCCAGCGTGTCTACTGCGCGCCCGAAGTGTCCCCGCTGATCGCGGACCACGTTTCGCCGGCCGACCATAGCGTCGCGCCCACCGCGCCGGACGCCTCGGCCGCTTCCTTTCGCCCGTACACCAACCCGATGTTATTTCCCGCTTTTGCCGACGCTCAGTTCCCTTCGGTCTTGCCGCCTTTACCCCCGTTGCTGTCATCTTTGCCACCGTTGCCGTCGCTCTTGCCACCGTTGTCGGCGCTGACCGCTCCGGTGCCCATCGCGTATCCACTGCTCCAGGACGCTTCGGCGCCGTCCTTGCAGTATCATCACCATCTCCAGCAGCAACAACATCAACTCCTGCAACACCAGCACCAACTTCAGCTCCAGCAAGAGCACCAGCTACAGCTCCAGCAACAACAGCATTTCCATTTCCAGCTCCAGCAGCAGATCCAACTCCAACAACAGCAGTTGGCCTCGTACGCGGGCGGTGCCGTCACGTTCCAGGTCGGCACGCCGCTGCTGTACGCGTCTGATTCGCCGTCGTCTTCCGCGTCCGATTGCAATCATTTCCAGTACGGCGGCGTGCACTCCGGCATGCCTAGGGCGGGCTGCTATATCGAGTAAGTGTAGTCATCGCAAACTTGTAACATTTTCGGTTTTTAATCGGTTATGGATCGATCCCGATTCCATACGTAGCGCAGAGGGTCGGGAAAAAAAATCGACCATCCGTTCGCTACCCATCGTGTTATGACGGTGTAATTATAATAATGTGATGGTTTTTTTTTTTTTTTTTGTCGCGCAGGCATCATCCGCATTGCGGCGACATGGTCGACGAGAGAGGAATGCGCGCCGGCGACGAAAGCTTCAGCAGCAGCGGCCGGTCGGACTGCGTGACGCCCGACTGGACGCCCGAAGAGGTGGCCGAGCGTCGTCGCGCTCTGGAGGAAGAACCGGTCATTGAACCGGACGAGATGGCCGAGGAGATAGCGGCCATTTACAGGCAGTCGGATTTCATCATGTTCAGACAACGGTACTTGGAGAGCTTGGGACCGCCGAAGAACTTCGAGAAGATGCGCCGTTCGGTGCCGGGCAAGCGGTTCGGCGGCGGCGGTCCGGACCACGTGTACGTGATGAAGCGCCAGAAGAACAACGAGGCGGCCAAGAGGTCCAGGGACGCGAAACGCCAGAAGTACATCGAGAACCAGATCAGCGTCATATACCTGACCAAAAAGGTGAACGAGATGAAAGAGATCAAGAGACGTCTGTTGATGTCCATGTGAACGGTTTTTGTGACTCCTATTAAATATTATTATCGAGTATAAAATATATTATTTTTTCAAAATTGATACGACTAAAAAAAAAAAAAATAACATTATTTCGTCAAACAAACATTCAACTTTTATTTTAATTTATTACTATTATTATTATTATTATTATTATTATTATTATTATTATTGTATTATTGACGTTTGTCAAACAAATTCGCTCTACTTCGTAGATATTTTATGATCTTCTTAGATATTTCTCATTTTTATAAAATAAAAAAAAATCTTTTTGAATATTAAATATTATTTTCGTATTATTTAATCGACTGCGGTGTTTGCATAAATACCGTTCACGTATACATCAGTGTACCGATTATATTCGGAAAATTATTATTACGAACAGCGTTTTTTTCGTTTTTCAAATTGAAAAAAAAAAAAAAAAAAACATTACTATAATGTCATTATTTTTTTAATCTTCGGTCTGCGTACGAACCATATTATATTTCATAATTAGCCGTACTGAGAAACATAGTAATATATTATATTTCATTGTCATTTTTTTTTAATACACATATATATCACTGTACCAACACTATCTATAGTGATTGTAAGTAACAATTATTGTCAAACATACCAATACGATCATGTCCAGTTAAATTGTTGAACTCATAATACATTTTTAATATTTAAATTCAAAAAAATCTCGGTTTTTGTTGTTTTTTTTTATTTTCTCGTTCCATGAATGAGATATATCTCCCTATTTGTTCTTTTTTTAGTATCAACGCGTAGTTGACGTATAAAAAAAAAAACTTGAACGTATACATTTTCCTGTTTAAAACGAGTTTTTCTACAGAGTCTAATGTAGTGATAAAACCTACGTAATAATTTAAAAGCCGGACATCGGTATTTCGCTCAGTCTTGGGTATAAGCCACTTCAATGTGTAGGTGGGAAATTTGGAAGGTTAATTGAAATTTAGTTTTTATACATAAGTATACTCTAAAAGCAGCGATAAATCGTTGCGGTACAAAAAAAAAAAAAAATAAATAAATAAATAAATAACGATTCTGGGCCGGGGAAATGGTAAATTTATAGTTTATTATAGTCGTATTATGTCCGTTTTGTAGCCAATAAGGTAATCCCGAAATTAACAAAAACAAGACTAATAGTTTATTATTATCCGGTGAAAAAATTTGCGAATATTCTCGTAATTCGCTGACATATTTATTGCACTGCGGTCTGTGCGACGCCGTGCATTAATACCGTCGGCGTACACGTATGTTTTTTTACTTTAATTATCATATTTTATAGGTACTATGTTCTGTATGCCGTCAGTCGTATTTCCATACCAGTATTCAAATTTGGAGGAAAATAATCGAAAATCGAACCTGAATAATTGTTACGCAAAACCACGCGGGTGGTGATAATTCGAAATCGCGTGCGGTGTATTGATATGCGACCGGCCGCGTTGCCGATATCTTATCACACCGAATTTTATTAATTTTCGGTCTTATCTTTAAAAACGTGGTAGGTGTCTATCGATTATCCGTAGAAAATTTGTTCCCCGACTCGATGCGCTTCGACTATAGACATCATATTATCATTTTTCGCGCCAGAGTTATCGAAAATCGTGTTATTAATTGCACCGAAAAACGCGGGTATCTCAATGAAAAAAACAAACCAAATCCGGTTAAAATTGAAATGCCGCGACATTAATGATTTTCATCGAAATTTGAACTTGAAACGCTTACAAAAAAAAAAAAAAACTTTCACACAGCGCTCAACGGTTTTTACTATCCAGCATACGACTCATCACGAACCTCGCGACACGAAATTTTGAGAATTTCGGCCGGGCCAAAATGTCCGAAACAAGGCAGATTATATTTTAATAATATTATGTTCTAAAATCGATTTTACAAAATATCGTGATGTGCGTGGTCCTTTTGTAATCTCGATAGAGGGGGCAGTTACCAATATTCCTCTCAGCCGACCAACCCCCCCCCCTCGCCCCCACAGTTTACGTCCGTATGAATACGCGCATTTGTCGCGTGTGTCTCTCATTGGTCGTCGGCCACGAACGCGGAAACGGGTTTTCGACTCTCGCGAGGGACCTATTGACACAGTTTTTCGGACCCTTTTCGGCCTGCCACGCACGTGTATTATTATTTCGACGATATTCAGTCGCGAATACAATAAAATTTTATAAAGAGCGTCGTATAGGTATACCAATATCGTGCGACCTGCTGCTGCCAAAAACCCCGTGCGCCGAAACCCTTTTTCCGAAGCGGCACACAAACACGACGACCACACCTGTTTCTCAGCTGCGGCCTTATTGTGGTCCCCTCACACATGGAATCATTATTGTTATTTTCTCTTTATCGCAAACAATTTAGCGTCGTTCCGGGCAAACACCGAGGGCACAGGGTCGCGTATAAAATATACAACAAAAATAAATATAACAATATTCCATTATATTATGGACCTCTACGTGCATTTCCCCCCCCCCTTTTCGTTTTAGAGTGAAATGTTCAGTTCCTTTTAGTTTAAGTCCCCAAAGTCCGGGAACGCTTTAGTTATTGTCTCCGAGACATTTTTAATGAAATTTTAAAAACTGGAATTAATTAAATGCCTATTAGCTTATACGCGTAATCAGACTCTGTTTTACTTTTTTTTTACCGGTATGTGCGTAGGATAACATTTGAAGGGAGGTGGTGTAGTCTATTTTTAAACCTTATAACTTATAAGTATAATATTTTTATGAACAGAATATATGTGTGTGAGAGAAAAACATTTCGTTGTTGGTTTTTCTGAAAGTAGTTCTCGGGAACGCCCTTTAATTTTCGGTAAATAAAGTTACCCTCCGAAGTTATGGTGTTGCCACTTTAACTACACTGACATGAAATATTTCCAAAACAATTTAATTTGCATTTTAATGGAAAATCGTCAAAATATGCTAAGGAAACAAATTCATACTGATTAAACGTTCTAGCGTTACGGACTGTATAATACGTTAATTTGTATCTCGGTTTGCCGACAAATAGAGGCTTCGGGAAAAAAAACTTCCTTTAATTCCTGTAACTTCTAAAATTCCAGTGGTCGCGTATAATATCGACGGCTAATATCATACTAATATTACACGGGAGTGCCTAGAAGGAGATGGGTACTATTGGTATGAAAATTAAATTGTTTTTCTTAAATTACGAAACACTAGAGTACTCGGTTGAAATGAAAAACAAACAAAAAATAATAAACAGAAATAAAAATGCTATAACAACTCCAAATAAAGAGGCTGTCTGAGAACGTGTGCAGGTCTATTATTGGCTTGAAATAGGATGAGCCAATTTCACAACACGTGGATGAAAAAAAAAACTATGTAACGTACTGGGTGGGTAAGTGAAAAGTGGGCGGGTCACTGAACCACTTTCCGTCTAATATGTTTTTCGTTCAATATACAGATACGGGCAAAGCAAAACGGGAATAAATGTAAAAAGAATGACAAATTGGCACGGGCATCGCCGAGCGCGGGACAGCTGGTTACACATAATTTTAATAATATAAAAATATATAAAAATAAAAAAACGAATAAGTATGTAATTTAAATTGTATCTGATCTTATCACACAGACCACGGTCATATTATTATCTTATCAGCCATGTGGTTGTACTTTTTATCGATACCGAATTCTTATTTCCTGATTACCAATATGAAACTATAATATCGCGTGTCATATAATATCATATATTCCAATAAATCGGAAAATAAATGATTCAATGAACAGTTTAATGATTTTTACCATTTGATTGCGGACCTCTGGTCTCGAACTGGACTTGATGACAATTGTATTATATTGATCAATAATATTGATACGTTGGTGGTCACCGTCAATGATCGTCAATAATAATATATCGTTCAATATATTATTATATCGATCGTACAGAAAAGAAGCGGAAATCTGCGAACCAGGAGGTCGGCGGGGTAGCGAATCGTAGAAACCCGCGGGACATTTTCGAATAGAAAAAACGCTGGTCGCAATATTATTTTGGCGACTGGGTGTCGCGACGTCCAGTCGCCGCGCGTCTTATCGCTCCGGACTCGGTATTATTATTATTACAATGCACGCACGACGAGACGGAGAAAAATACACCGTTAAAAATGCCGTTAATTTTCCGTGTAAACGTCAAATGACGTATATTTTTGAAAAGAAAAAAAAAAGAAAGACCTCCCGTCGACATAACGCTCGCTGCGAGCTACAATAGCCGGCCGTCGCGTCCATCCCGAGAGGACACCCAGCCATTATCAATACACACCGACATACTCAGTGGCGTACCGATAGGGTGGCACGACGGGCGATGAGCAGTGGCGCCGAAACAGGTGGGCGGTGGCGGATCTATGATGGATACCAGAGCCATATTTTCTATACAATTGGCACGTATGGAATATTATTTAAGAGTGTTGTATGCGAGTTAGTTATGCGAACGAGGGTGGTGGTCTATACGACTTTTTACCGTCTCGCCTTCTTAAAACGTGGTTCGGCGCCACTGGCGATTAGCCACGAGTCCGTGACGTTTAGGCGCCCCAAATCGAGCCCGTGGCATTATTTTTCAGTGGACGGACAGGTGAATAGAAAAACAGGCGATGACCGTTTTGCTTATTGAGTAACATAAGTAAACGGACACGTGCGTGAAAACAGGCCGTGCACTTTTTTCTTTTTTTCTTTTGCTCTAAACCGTGTAAATTGCGCCCGAACACGGTTTGAGCCAGGGCTTGGCCAGGATCGCGCTAGCAATTATATTGATATATTTTTTTTTCTGTGGACAACTTTTCTACTAGCAATTTTTATCCGATTTACGAGTGTAGCACTTTTTCTGTAATGAAATCTGACTGGAGTTGTACTTTAGGAAGGTAATTTTTCAATATTCCCAGACGTTTTCATATTAAATTGGAAAAAAAAGGTACAATATTGAACAAATATTATTTGGTTTACATATAACAATTTTTATTTATAATTATATAATTTATTCCACAGCTATATACTATATAGGTACGTAATAGCATATAACTAATATTTATTATACAAATTTAAAAATGTTTATACATATATATATATATTATATTATTATATTTTTTTCTAATTCATGTTTTTTAAAATAATGTTTTATCCCGATTCTCAGATTATGAACATGGACTTCGAACAAGCTGTTATCCAAGCAGCAAAAACTGTGACTATTTTTATTTATATTTATTTTAAATGGTTTTTGACTATTGTTTGACTATCACGTATATATACCGTATGGTATACGGAAAAATAACCAAAATGATAATAATACAATCAATATAAAATAAATAATAATAAATTATAAATGAAAATTTAATAGAATATTTTGTATTTTCGGACTTTTGTCTCCGGATTTTTTGACCTATTGCCGTTTTGACCATAGATACCACATAATCAAAAAAAATAATAATAATAATAATATTTACTTTGTTACTAAGGTGACCCAATCAACAAAAATGATATCAAAAAATACCAAAATCCCTGTCAGCTATTCTTTAGGGGTTAAATTTTAGAAATTTCAATAACTATAAACCTTCTCCGGACCACGCGGAAAATTTTGCGAAAAACCCCGTTGAAATCGGTCCAGTAGTTTCTGAGTCTATAAAGGACAGACAGA